TTCCACATCCACCCCACGCAGTCCCAATTTTCCTTTCCAAGATGCATAATCTAAATTACCTTCTGGGTTTTTTTTTGTTTTCCCCTCCTGCTAAGCCAGGCCAGGCAACATCCATACATCACTCATACCTCGGGATGGGTACACTGCTTAGCTGAGTGCCGTGGTACAGCTGGCCCAGGCATGGTGCAGCTACAACTGCTAACAACCTTAGAGAGAGCCTCTCTCACAGCCTACATAGCCACTGCTGCTTTCTCTTGAAAACTGCAAGAGACATACCTTCCTTCAAACAAATTTTATGTCTTACTCCAAAAAGCTGGCAAAATGCTCCGCAACTGGGAGATCACTTTTTTAACATGGGGTAAGAATTGTTCTGCCCAACATGTCCCTTTTCTGGCACTTCTGCAGTCTCCATCCTTAAATAAGGATCAGGCAAATATGTAGGAAACAAAGTTTCAGTTCGAAAGTCTGAAATGTAGCAACGTTCTAAAAAACTTAGTATGGACAGTATATAATGCTCAGGAACAATGTTTGCAGCCCACACTACCGTCAGCTTCTTAAGCAATATTGTAAAGTGAAATTCCAAGGTAAGGTGAGGATGCAAATATACCAGGTAAGAAAAGCTGATTGATACAGTGCAAAGAAATCAGAAGAAAAAGCTATGTAAAGAGGAAGAAATTTATGCCATTTACTGCTGACATGGCTTTCCCCATCTCCCTGTCTTTCTGCCTTTATATTTGTTCCATTTTGGACCCAGAAATGAATACAAATTAGTTTAATCAAATTTCCCAACTGAGATACAAAACATTTGGAAATGACTTTAAAATATACCATGCAGCTGAAATGTCATGGTTAATTTTAATCTACAGCATGCAGCTAATATCCTCTGGCTATTTCAGTGGTGCAGAAGATTGTAATTATTCACCTGTTAAAGTAAATGCAGCTTTAACAAGTCTGATCACAGTTGAAAAGGAGGAGTGGAGAGGACAGGTAGACAGATGCTGTCTCAGTATGTCATCTGTGAATGATGCCTTTGTAGCTCTTTGAGAAGAATTATCTAGCTATAAAGAAACAAGCCTCTAATACAAAGTGGGCTGTTTCCTCTAATAGCAACTTCTAGATTTTCCTTTGACCAAGTTTTCCCAGCAATGGTGTTGCAACAGAGACAGTGGCAGTGCAGTTCTCAGCTGGTATAACACACCCTTTGTTATGGAGATGAAATAAAATATCATCAGTGGTGCCCAAACCACTCTTTCATAAGTGTTATCCAGTATTGTCCTTACAGCAATGGCTGTTTTCTGCTTCTCTTCATCAGTATTTTGGCATTTTTTTGCCTTTGATCAAAAATTCATAGGGCCTTATTCATCAAGGTGTTAGTTCATTATTGCTCTCGTCGCTTGTTCTTTACTGGCATGGAAGAGGAGCGTTGCAATTTTGAGTGAGGCTTCTGTCCACCCTCGGGCCAGATGAAGGGATGCAGGAGCCCTTTGTTGGGTTTTTGCCAGAATGTCAAGGGCTGGTTCTCTTCCAAGTTACACCAGTGTCACGGTAAGAGTGCTCTCTGAAATCCTTTTCTCAGCGACATGTGTCCACCTCCTGTTGGCTTTGCCCAGCAGAGAGAGGAGTTCAGGTCACTGAAGTGGACTTGGACTGCATCTCGCCAGGAAATGTCTTCAAAGCATAAGCTGTGTGAGAGGCCCCAAGTGCATCATGCCCAGCTGCATGGTATTTGGCTTTTTTTTTTTTGGATTTTGGCTTTAGCTAGGTTGCCACACCATGTATAGGAACACTGTATCACACTAGGAGCCTTTTTTCCACCATGAATTGAGTAAAATGTAGAAAACTAAGTTGTCCCCTCATGGTGGCTGGGGAATTTCTCATCTCCTGAGAGCTAAGCTCCAGTAAATGCACTTTTCCACCTGCTTTTACACAGTGTTATGTGTTTTGCTCTTCGGAAGGTAACGTTCTATGCAATCTCAATTTTAATTTTTGCATTAAGAAAAACACCTTGATCTTCCTTCAGTCCACACCGATCTCTGTTAATGTTGAGTAGTTTAAATCATAATAAATTTTCTGATAGAGGCTCTTCTCATGTAGCGGTAAAGAGAACTTGGCTCATCAAAACCCTGTCACTCGCACATGGAAAGTGAAAAGCACTTTGAAGTGGTAATGAAGTAAGTTCCTGCTGTTTAACAGAAAGCTTTGATAAGATCATATTATTTGGGAGAGTACTTATCAGAAGAGTTGTAATTCATTTTGTGGAAACAAAGATCCCAATGGAAGGTAGTTAGATGGGAAGATCTAGCTGTTCATCATCTTAACAAAATTATCCTCCTTCCTTTGTGCACTTCCTTTGAAGAAGCAGGTGTGGTGGTCCTGAGCCACCTCCCATCTGCATAGTGGCTGTGTTTACTGAGGCCTTCAGAGCCAGCAGCAGATGATGCTGTTGTGTTTTTCAGTTTAAGCACAGTGAACCCCTTCAGGTCTTTCCATCTGTCCTCAGTTTGCCAGGTGAGTGGAGAGTTCTCCCTTGTCCCTCACAAGGCTGTGATAGCACAGTCGTGCTCCTCCCATTCTCCACACTCTGCTCAAAGCATCCATGTTCCCAAATTTTTGTTCTTTTTTTCTCTGTCTCATGGGATTTTAATCTGAAATATCCTTTATTCTTTCTCTGAGCTCGGCTGAAATATTTTACAGTGGATTTTTTTTTTTTAATGTGGGATAGGTGTCTATCTTATGCTTCACACTGCTTTGGCCCTGAATATTACTTTATCTGCCCTCTCTTTTTCTATTTGTCCAGCTTAGTAACCCTTTCTGGCAGAGTGCTGAAAGCCATGAGACATTTCAGAATCAGGGTAGCACCCCAGCACCTCAACCACTTCAAGTCATGCAATCTCTTAGGCAGAGAAAATGATGAAAGAAGCAACAGATGGAAGCTTTCCAGACAACTGAACTATGTGTGGAAAAATCAGATTTTAAAGAGACTGAAGCAGTGAGAATGCTTTGGGACAACTGAGAACAAGCATAGGTAATATGCACAGTGTATTATTAAAGCCAGGAGGGAAGAGAACAAGTTTATTGTTTTACATACAGGTTCTGTTGGTTTTGGGGCATGAAAATAAATGATCGAACATGCACTTCAAAAAAAAGGGACAAAATGGTAGGAGGTCTCTGGTGTTTCTCAGTACACTATGGCCTGTGAAAATGGCATGCTACATACACAATTGCAGGAAAGCCTCTTGTGATTTCTAAAAAGAAAAGATTCATGTGAACATCAGCTACTCATGAAGAGCTGACAATACAGGCACAGCTGTCAGAGGTTTTAAGAAAGGACACGATGGCAGAAGATTGCCTAAGGGAGCTAATGGGAGACAGTGGATTCCCTGAGCAGGAACTTATCTAGTGGCTTTTCAGCAACCAAGGGTTGTGACCTCAAACACCAGTGATGCAGTGCCTTGACATGAAGAGAATAGCGTCATCCTGCCATGTCCTTCCCTCCTCCTGCTGCCACAGCAGGTTGCTCACATCTCTTCCCAAGGGCCTTTTCTGGGCTTGTCCAAATCCTGGACAGACTGCAGCAGTTGAGCCTGCTGAAGGAAGAAGTCGGGTAGCGGCAGCTGTTCTCCTCCTTAGGCTTCCGTGAAGTTTGCCACCTTCTGTGACCATCTGGTGCCAGGTAGAAAGTTGCCTCTCTGAGGAAGAAGGTCCCTTGGTTAACACAAAGAGGTGGATGAAGTTGTGGTGGGATTGTGGGGGTGTGTCCCATACACAAAGAGGAGTTTTCCTCCAAGCAGCCCCAATGGGAAGGAAGGGCTTTGTGCCTTCTGCATCCACATTCAGTCACAGTGGGAGTTGAGTGATGGTGGGGGAGAGCTCACAAATCACCACAGGCGGTTTTTCCTCCTGCTTTGTAGGGTTGTAGCAGTGTGACAGCTGTTAACAACTTCCTACTTGGGTAAATTATATCAGACACCACTTTGCAAAGGTTGCTGTAATGACTTTTTAAAAAGAATTTATCCAGAAGACATGACACGGCGTAAGTAATTGCAATCATATGGTATCTGTGTCATTGATGGTTTCTGCTATTTTGTAGTAACCTCCTATAATAACATGTATAATTGGAAAGAAATCAATTATTTTTCTTAAGAAAGCAGAAAAATACTATATGCGAAAAGAGGGAATAGTCCCTAAAATCCTTCTGTGTATTCATCTAAATCTATGTAGTATGAAATACAATCTTTCTTAACTGATACCATCTAAACTAATGTTGCACTCACAAAAGTACCATCAATTATCTCTGCTTCTGAGTTATATTTTTTTTATATTGGTATAGTAATCTACCAAGTAAATCATTCACTGTGTTGGGTTTGTAAGAGAAGCAAGACTGACTCTGGACATGGGCACGTCTTATTATTGTATGACTCCTTATTCTTGAAAGACTTAAATTAACTTTATAAGGAAGGAAGATTCCATACTCTTGAAAGTCTCCTTTATTAGTATTTGAGAATTAGGAATATGTGGGCGGGCAAGGCAAAGAGTAATTTACCTCATTTTTGTGGGTCTAGCTTTCCAAATAAATTATGCTCATGGTTCTGCTTCTGGGGACATCTCCATTTAAATCAATCACAGTACAGTAATGCAATCTGCCAATGACGTACCTCTTTTTCCAGGGAAAGTATGTCTGGTGTGTGTTTGTAAAAGGAGGTCACTGAAAAAAAAAAAAATGCTGAGGCAGGAGTGAAAGCAATATCACTTAACCTAGAATAACTGAATATTGCTAAACTAGATCTGAGTCAGACCGGTCCCTCTCATCTCAAAAGAGCCCAGCTGCTTCTGCCCTGTGCCTCTTTTTTTAAAAATCTACCTAGATATTTTATTGGTAAATTTATTTTTAAGGAAAGGTTAGCAGATGAACTGACTCCCATGTATCAGAGTGTACCTCTTGTGAAACCTGATGGTAGATATGAGTACTGAACACTTGTTGATTTTTCTTTTTTTCACAGGCATCAGGGTTACATTTATACCTACAGAGTGTCCAAGACAGAAACAGGATCCTGGAGTGCTGAGGTGTGTACTTCTCCTTTCTTATCTGAAAATTTCTACAACCTGGTTCATATTTGTATTGATTTAATGAAATATATTCAAATTATTCATGTTTCTGCATAGTCTGGTTTTTATCGAAGGGAATTGATCTTGAGCGCGCCCATCACTAAGATGTCTTGGTGCTACTTCTGACAGTCTTGAATGCATAAATTAAATCCCTATTACATTTCAGCTCTTGCATAATGAAATAGTGCATTATTTTGCATCACTTTAAATGGCAAAAATATTGTGTTTTTATTATTTGACAAGCACAACCAGTTCCCTTCTTTCCCACCTATCATTAATGTCAGAATATTAAAGAAATTATTTTCAATCTACAGTGTTTTAAAGTTAATTTATCTACAGATTAATTCATCAATGGTGCAAAACAGAGGTAGGGTATTCAAAACTTGATACAAAACATGTTTTCACCTATCTGATAAGAAACTGGTAATTCAAGTGTAGAATAACACCATTTGCAATACAAGACAACTGTTGGATTTGATCGAATTGGGATGCTAACCTGTGTTTCTTTTATGAAGGTCTTGTTCTTTGAGGTACTCTGTGTATTAATTTGTAATTAGCTTTCAGTTTGCACATTAATGAATATCGATTACAAACATTAAATAATTTCTAGACAGGAGTAATTCCTTGGCCATTATTATCACAGAACTGGTTGCAGTGCTCTGGAAGACAAGACTGATTAGTGGAGCTACTCAGAAGCAGATCAGGGACTAAAAGTGACTGACATTACTGCAGAGTAAATAATTATCCTGGTACTCAGGAAGAATTTACTCATTCATTCCTGTAAGGCATCCCTCAGGTTTCCACTGCCCAAGCAGGAAGGTTTTTGGGATGGGGTGGGGATGGTGGTGTGGCACGGCGAACATTGGTGTCTCCGGAAGGATGCCAGGACCCCCAGGGACCTCAGCCTGTGAAAGGTAATTCCCTGAGTGAGGCTGAAGCCTGCTTTGGCCCCAGGTAATGTCACCAGTGAGGTTCTTTTGGTGTTTTATAGGCCATCTTCCCCCCATGACCTCCACTGGCTTCCTAAGTATGGGTCTTGCACTTTCCCTCACTGTATTTGAGAACCATAGAACCATAGAATTGTTCAGGTTGGAAAAAACCCTTGGGATCATCGAGTCCAACCACTAACCCTACTCTACAAAGCTCACCCCTAAACCACCTCCCCCAACACCACATCGAAGTGACCTTTAAACATCTCCAGGGGTGGTGACTCAACCACCTCCCTGGGCAGCCTATTCCAATGTCTGACCACTCTTTCTGTGAAAAAATTTTTCCTAATGTCCAGTCTAAACCTACCCTGTTGCAGTTTAGAAGAACCTTACCGCTGTTTCACAGCATAGGTGTTCTGAAGACCCAGGACTCTTAAATACATCCTCTGCAGGGAAAGGTGCTAGCTACAGACCTGTCACACCGGCCCTTCCCCTAAGCAAACAGAAAACTTTAAGTAAATGTTGCTAAGAGCACACTGGCCTCAGCTGTTAGAAACAGCCGCCTTAAATCCAACGTAACCCCACAAAATGTGCCTCCAAGGCCAGAACAAGCTCAAGGCGCAGCTGGTGTTTCCCTGTCTCTGCTTCCTCCTCTGTGGCTGCTTAGTCTAGACGCAAGCTCAGGTCACACCCACCTTTCAAGGACGAGGCAGGGAAATTAAAACAGTGCTGATACACTCCCAGCCAGGGCAAAGTCTCCAGCTGGTGTCGGTGAGGCAGGATACAGCCCAGGGCTGCTGGATGAAGGCAGTGTCCCTCACATGGGAGTATGCTGGAAGGACTTGTGCTTGTTCTCCCATGACTTTGGTGGGGAGAAATGAATATGAGAATGCCCTGGAGGATTTAACAGAAACACTGGATAGTTGATTAAAGCAGACGTAGCTTCATTTCACAATGTTTGAAAATATGGTAAGGTACAAAGATAGAAAACCACCCACTCGTAATAAGTAGGTACTATTTTGTTGCAGCCTTTGTACGAGACATAGACAGGAATACTCAATGACTGCATAAGCTTGGAGAAAGCCTTGTGAAGAGGTTGTGTTCATGCCTGAATTTGGTGGTGTAAGGACACCCTGTCCCTGGTCAGTGCCAGATGGTTCTCCGGATCTTCCTGGTGTTTCCGGATCTTCCTGGTATTTCCAGGCTGGAAGTATCTTAGCAATAAATCTGGCTACAATAAAACAGAGTCAGAAATAGTGAAAGATCCCTTGGGAATTTCCCTAATAAACATGGCAGGCTTTGTGTTTCTCTTGTAGTGATTAAGAAATTGTACCTCTTCCAGGCTTATACCACAACACTGCTGGAAACTGCTCTTCATTCTGCGAGGCTGCAATGTCCCAGGGGAAGGAGGATAGCAGTATGGCTAGTTAACTCATTTTAAGTTGGCACATCAGGGGGTTAGCTCCTTCCCTGGGGGGGGTGTGCATTTCTGAGGACAAGGCTTCTGTGCCAGTGCCCAGAGCCTGGCACAGATGCTCAGCACCCAGCATCCCTTCTCACCTCTCACCATCCGGCTTTGCAGACAGCACCCGGGGTCCACCGGAGGCTCTTTCGGAAAGTGGACAACCTCATTTCAGCCTTCCAGAAACCTGATCAAGGCATCATAACACCCCTGCGGCACCCGATCATCAACCATGCGAAAGCCAAATACCCACCAGGTACTCGTGGGGCAGAGGGAGCCTCAGCCATGGCTGAGCAGAGTCCTCCACTGTGGTTGGGATGGAGGTATCAGACTTATTTGTGTCTGTGACCTAAATTAGCAAGCAGGGTGGCGTTGCCAAAACCGTGACCTAACTTTTCTACCGTGTGATCGGAATGCTGGTTCTCAGGTGTTCATTAGGGATACGCCTGCCAGTGTCCCGAGAAGATGAATTTTGAATATGCATTCCTGAGCACTCTACCAGCTGTGGCTACCTTCCCTCCCCAGTGTCCTTGCTCTTGGAGTTATGAACCTCCTGATCTGTTCATTTTCCTACAGTGCTCATCCTTTTGTATCTTTGTGATCATTTTTCTTAGGGAGAAATGAAGGCCATGACTTCCACCTGCAGCCCTCATGAAGATGTTTCCCCCAGCGTGACATAATCATATCTTCTAATGTCTCCTCTAGTCCATGCTCTAGAACAGAACGATTTATATGATAGTTAAAACTCCATGAGTTTTCTTGTAACATTTGCAGAAATGTGTATTTCATAGAATTTCTAGCTCAAAAATGTAGAAGTTTTAGGTTTCAGAATATTTTTTTTCCTTTTTTTTTCTAAGAGGATAAAAAAATATCAACTGCTAAACAGTGAAATAGTGTAGTGTTTTCTTTTTCTCTTTTTACTCTCAAGTACAAAATATTTTTCACTTCAAGATTAGTTCCCAGATAATTAGTTACTAATTTTACATTAATTAAGTTTGGAGTCTGCTTTGCTTTATTCTGGTTGGCATTTATGCAAAACCTGGCAAGCCTACTTTTATAGTTCCAGGAAAATACCTTACATTAAAGTGTCCTTGCCTTTGGTGGGCAGCGTGTCTGTCATTCATACAGTTCCTAAAGACATTCCAGAAGCAGCATCATGAGAAGCGCCACTAACTGATTTCCCATTACACCAGGCTCTCTCTCTGCCCTGTAACTGTCCACTGCTGCCTGAATGTACAAAATTTATTGTTTGCACAAATGACCCAAAACTTCAGCAATGCTGAGACCAGCCAGTGAAGGGCAGACCACTGTTCTTTGCTTTTAGATGTTCCCTGTACTTGAAATGAACTGACCCTGCATACAGTTTTTTAAAATAAATTATTTTTGCCTGACAATTTCTCTGCTTTCCTTTACCTATCCTTGTGTGCCTCTGTGCTGCTGCAGATCTCCTGGGAGAGAGGTTTGAATTAAAGGTCGTGTCAGTTGTGTGGGTTTAACATAAGCATGATGACACTGTCCTGCCTGGACTGACAGACAGTACGAAACACTTTTGAATGGACTGAACATCCTACAGCCCTCATTTTTCGGGAGGTACTACGGTGTGTGCACTGCAGTCAAAAGGTGGAAGACATGGTCTCATCTCTGTGTGGGTTTTTGCCAGGCAGGCTTCTGTGAGCTTTGGGAGAGACTCCAACCCTGGCCCAGCCTTGCTGGTGTGTGCTCGGTCTGTGAGAGGGCTGCACCAGGGCTGGCTGATGGAGTCGTGCCACCATTAGTCACTCTTCAACCTGCACAAATGGTCCTGACTAGCAAAGGAATGTGATTCTCCCACTCTCATTACCAAAAGACAAGACTAATGGTGATTGCGAATGGACTACAAAAATATATTTAAAGAAGCAACTCTTAATATAGCCACCTTTGAGTTTCTCTGGTTAAATGTTTCATGCCTATACTTCTGATTTCTGCGTGGCTTGGAAGGCTGGAGATGTTTGATAAGAGAGGAAAATTTTTTTTCTCTGGAAATACCGTACTCAGGAAAACGCATCTTAGCAAATTCGACCAGACACAGCTGCCAGGGCTCAGTGGCACAGTAAGAGGTACTGTGTGGGGCTGCTGGTGGTTCCCCAGGCAGCAACAACCTCCCGGCGATAGCCCCAGTGCCTGTATTTATATCTGCATGTAAGATACTTAGGTTGGGAGGTCTCCTTCACCAGCACATTAAAAAACCCTCCACCCGTAATTTACTTAATTGTTGGTATCCTAGATCCTGCCTTTCACCTCACTGAAGTCAAGCTGGATGTGAATAGTGACAGAGCTAAATGGGCTAAAGGATTCAGCAAGGTTAGGATGCTTCAAGCAGCATTTGATAAGGTTGGAAGGTTTAAACTTTTATTTTTAATCTTTTTTCTATAAGTGGATATATGTGTGTGTGTGTCTGTGTGTGCGCGTGCGTGCAAGTAAGAGACAGTGTGTGAGTGAGTAATAAACCATTTTCTGTAAAGCAAAAATGCCTTGTAAAAAAAATGGGAGTAATTGCAATAAATAACCAGCCCCACAGTAACAGAGACCAAAGGGCAATACTGTTGAAAAGTGGTGAAAATTTCAGTTCATTACACAGTTTCTGTCCAAACAAAGCTGAATTTCATTTGTGGTGAAACGTCCCAGCTTCCTAACTAGTCACATAATATTTTGCACTATGTGTTGCTCCGTACCTCTTTGTTGTACATGTTTGTCTTAAGACACTGCCATACGGTGGCAGATCCAGCATAATTTACTCTTTAATGAAATATTTAAAAGCTGGCTTTTTAATTGTTACATAATTCAGCAAATGTCAGCCATGGGGGCTCTGACCTGCCCACCTCCAGCACAAGAGCAAACATCCCTGGCACCAGCTGCTTTGCTGTCACTTGTGCCCATTGAACCTTCCCTGTGCCTTAAAGCTTTCCCTTCCCTCCTTGCATCTACAGTGGCTGGTCTCTGGCCATTCCTCTCCGACTTTCTGCTCCTGGAAACCACCATTCCCCAAAACCAAGTGAGCTGCTGAGTGCTGGCAGAGAGCGTGGGTGCCCCCCAGGCTTCCCACGGGAGCCTTTTTACTTTCTAAGTGCTGGAGCTAAACTTCTGCTTTAACCTGGTTTCTCCTGGGAGCAGGAAGGAGTGTGCTTGGAAATGGTCTGTGGCAGATATTTGCACTGTGGTGGGGATAAATGTAGTGAGAAGCACTTTGCCCAGTGGCTGTGTCCTATAGAAATACCATGTTGGCTTGAAGCAAAGGCTGAGGCCATCAGTGCTTTGTGCTAATCTTGTGGCACAAGAGCAGCAGCCCACACATCCGTAGTGTGGTGCAGTGAGCTGAAGATAACTGGTTTGACTATGGATGACTCCAGCAGTGCGTTGCTCTTCTAAAAAATACATTAAATAGGCCAGGAGATGCCATTTCTGTTTAAAGCTGAGAATGTTGTTTCAGTTTCTGATGTAAATTATTAAGACAGAGGCTTGTTTGTGTTGTTTCTTTTGGGTACCCAAGGGCCTGGAATTGCTGTAGTCTTAAACAAGGTGGAAACTGAGAGAAAGCTCATGGTACCCGAGGGACAATTTGTCGATGCTTGGTTACAGAAATAGTAGTATGGAAATCATATAGATTTCATGCATTGATCTAGGTGTGAAGAGCTACAGATCCTTTTAGAGAGTAGCAGCTGCATTTTGTGGGCATGACTTCACCGGACAATATCTTTTATCACCTGCTGCTTCCAGCCCACCATGCCTGCCAGGCTGCAGACACACTGGGACACAGTGCCTTGCTGCTGCTACTGCTCTGCCCCAGGCCTCCCGCCCCCCTCCCGCTTCCCCTGCCTGCTGCAGTCTGGACTCTGACAGCAGATTTTGCAGCTCACAGCTGCTCCACTGGTTACAGTCGTGACAGACCTCCTCCAGCACTCAATCCATACCGGCTCCCAGGCTGGTTTTCTTCCTTTTTCTACCAAAGTGCCTCTTTGGCCTCATTTCTTATCCAACACAGCTCTTCCAGCCTCAGCCCTCATGCTGTGTAATTGCCTAGCCCAGCTGCTCCCATATATTTTTCACCATGTGACCTTTCCTTTAGCCTTAAACACTCCTTTTGCTCCTCCAGTCCACTGTCTTCTCCTCTCTGCTGAATGTGCTGGGCTTTTCACTTTTCCTCACACACACACACACTTTTGATACAGTCATTCATCATCATCTATTTGAGGCTCTGTAGAATGTGCAGGTACTTAAACTCTGCTCCTCAACCCCTACCACCACTGTTGACTTCACCCACTCAGTTCTTGAGAATGCAAAGGCATTCAGCAGGTATTTTTTATTTTTTATTTTTTATTTTTTTCCCCTCACACTTGTTCAGGTGAAATGCAGTAACTTGGGCTCAGAAAACGCCTGTGATTTCACCTGCAGTGAAATGTGCAGAGCTATATGCATGAGCTTTGGTGAACCAAAAGTAAAATTAAATCTTGCTAGCAACCCCCTGCCTCCCCAACTATTGAATCAATATTGTCTGAAGTTCTTTTTTAGCTGTTTGAAAGCGCCTTTCATTTACAAGACCAGAATATCCCAAATACATGGAGTAAACATAGACAGAGTCACACACCCTCCGTTTGCACCTTTATTTTTTAAAAATGAAATAGTCAAAGTTCTTTTTCAAATATCGACACATAATATATTAACTTTCAGTATTTACAGCGTGTTGCTGGGATGTTCTTGTAGAAAATGCATGCTTCTGGTCTGAAACCCAGAGCAAAATGCATCAGACCATTTAACTGCAGCCATATAACATAAACCTGTACAGTATCCAGTCACTATTCAGCACGGGAGTTAGAGCAGGAATAAAAAAATCGGGATCTATTGTTTCCTAGCAACGAGGCTGAGACCGTTATAACACAATTTCTGTAAGATCAGAACCTCTAACTGGTGTTAGACTGAAACTGAAGATCTTGGCATACATTGTAAACATTTTTACTGGTGATGAGAAAGCTAAAAAGGAACATTACTTTGACATATATCATATGCTATGCTTCTCTTTCTTGTTTATTGACACTTCTGCCTGAAGAGTATGAAGATTTTAATGTTGTATCATGGTTCATACAAGTAAAATACTGTCAAGGACACGATCTGATATACTAACATTTATTAAAAGGCTAAAGTCCACCACGAGATCTAAGGAAAAACTGGAAATCGTCAAACACATTTCCTTAGACAAATAATGGCAGCCGACAAATGCCCGGACAAATCCACTGTGAGTCCGACCCCACTGTTCCCAGTTTCTGCCAAGAAGCGATGCTTCCGGCAGTCAGAGTGCTTTTGACCTGGTAAATGTTTTGAATCAAGGAGAGGTTTAAATAACAGTCGGCACTGGACAGGGATAACCCTTAGGGCTGTCGGCAGAGCCTGTGCTGAGGGTCACCAGGATAGATCAGCTGCGAACCAGCCCCCTGCAAGCGAACACCCAGCCAGGGAGCCCTGAAAACAGGAGCTCCTCTGCCTAAACCGCCTTCCCCTTCGCAATTGCACTGTGGCTCCCAGCAACACCCGCTCGCCATGGCTCGTCACAGACAGGCTGCTGTGTGTGACCCTGGCTCGGGGGGCCAGGGGGCTCCCCAGCTTCAGGAGTGCCCATGACCACGT